GAGTTGCATCAAACCTAATTTTGTAAATTACAATAAACTTTGTAATTTTTTATATTTTTAGTAAAAAAGATGAATAAAAAAAAAAGATATAATGGAAGTTTTTCTCAGTGTATTGGCAATAAAAACTTTGTTGCTACTAGTTTGAGCAGACAAAGAACGTAATGACACAATATGCAGTCTTTAATACGCTCGCAGTTAAAGACTCCTTTTAACTGAAGAAAATAAAATAGATCTTTATGTTAAAATTTATGGTAATTAGTTTCAGATTTCTTTAATGGTATTAAAAATTAAAAACCTATGGTCACTTTATGAATGGAATTAAGATTGTTATAAAACTTTAAAAATTTCATTAACTTATAATTAAAAATAATTAACTTTTTGATTTAATCTAAAGCACATTATTTATTAACAAGAGTTGTTATGTTATATAAATTATATAACATAACAAAATATATATTATTATAAATTATATATATAGCATAACAAAATATATATAATTATAAAGTAAAAAACATAATAAAATATTATTGAATATAAAAATATCATATATATATATATACATATATATAATTTTGCTAAGTGATTTTTCACTAATTTGTAATTGCTCTGTTCTTTTAAGAACATTGAGCACTCTGTAGAATACATTTTAAATTGTTTAGATATATTCATTTATTCATTATTATAGCTATTCATTAAGCGACCAAAGAGTTTTTTCAAAAACGTTATGCCAACAACAAACAATCTTTTAAACATAAAAAATACTCAAAAGAGACTATGCTGTCAAAATATATTTGGCAACTAAAAGAAAAAAAATTAACTTTAAATTAAACTGGTCTATCCTTAAAACTGCGCCTGCCTATAATTACATTAAAAAAAAATGTATACTATGTTTACACAAACAAGTTGAAGTTATTACTCATTTTGATCAAAAAATAATCATGAAAATAAATGACTAAAATTATCCTGATTCTCTAAAGAGTTGTTTTCATGTAGTTGATGCAACTTCCTGGTTGCAAAATAACTGCAGTTAACTTGCAACCAGGAAGCTACATCAACTTATTTTGAACCTACTGATAGTAAAACAATTTTTAGAAAAAAAAAAATTATATATGTGTTTTTACTAATTTATTGCTCTATTCTTTCAGAACATTGAGCACTCTAATACACTAGCATAGTTTAATGGGAATTTATTTAACCGGTGTCGAAATTCGATAGCAAAAACTTTTTTCTGTGCCTACATTTTAAAACCAATTCACTTTTTTATTTAACAAAGGTTCTTTATTGCATGTTGAAATAAAATATTTATCATTTATTCATTTATGCAAAGATTACATCTTTTTGAGGATGAGTTATAGGGTTGACATTTTTCAACAATACTCCACCTTTTGGTTTAATGCGTGCTTCCTTAAGTTTCCAGATCTCTTTAGAAAGTTCAGCGTCATTTTTATACCTGACCAAGTTAAATGATTTTATGTGGTTTGCAAACCTGATCTTTGAAGGAGTTTTTGCTAATACCTATATAAGATTTCTTAGCGTGGTTGACGTTCGCTGGTGTTATAGTAGCTTTGTAAACAATATTTTTAGTTAAACATTGATTTTCTAAAGGACACATAACTCTGTCTATACAGTTGCGTTTTTGTAACGTTTTCAGTATTTTGGTTCCGCAAAATGTGTTGGTTGTGGGACTTATATTTGGCATGCAGTTGTAACATATTTTAGCTGTGTTTTTGTTAAAAATTCTGTGTAGTTTGTGGTGTGCTTGGAAATGTAATTCGATTAAGTTCGAGAAAAGATTTCCTAATTTGGTGACAACGTTCTTACTAAAAGGGGGTTTAAACCATATGATATTTAGTTTGCGTTAATTAGTATTACGATTAGATTTTTATAAATTTAAATCAGGAAAATATTGGATATTGCTGCTATGTCCAGACTTTATAAGGGCTTCTTTGTAAATACTCGAAGAGTTTTCAAAAATTATTTTGCTGGAGGAGTTTGATGATAACCTTTGTTCAATAGAGTTCGGCAGATGTTTTAAAATATTTGGTTGGTGGTTAGAGCTGGAATGGATATAGTTTATCAAACTTTCAGGTTTATGATAAGCCTTAAAGCTGCAGTCATTAAGATTTAATTTAATAACGAGATAATTTACTATTTTTATGTTGAATTAAACAGAAATATTAAGGCTGTTGCTTTTAAATATCTGAGTTAAATGTTTTTTAACTTTTTTCATTTGTGGACTGCTCGCGTTTTTAATTACGGTCAACCCATCATCTCTATACAGCCCAAATTCAAATTTATTAAAAAACTGAGAAATTTGGAAAAGGAAAGCTTCAACCAACACACATACCTTGGCACCGTCGTAATATATATATATATATATATATATATATATATATATATATATATATATATATATATATATATATATATATATATATATATATATATATATATATATATATATGTATCTATATATATATATATATATATATATATATATAGATATATATATACATATATATATACATATATATATATATATATATATATATATATATATATATATATATATATATATATATATATATATTATATATTATTATACATATATATATATATATATATATATATATATATATATATATATATATATATATATATATATATATATATAAATATATATATATATATATATATATATATAATAATAATAATAATATATAAAACCAACACACATACCTTGGCACCGTCGTAATATATATATATATATATATATATATATATATATATATATATATATATATATATATATATATATATATATATATATATATATATATATATATATATATATATATATATATATATATATATATATACATATATATACATACATATATATACATATAT